ACCTTTATCTTTTTAAAAATAGTTTATTAGAGATAATTTTCTCATAGACTTTCTGTCTCCTCGGCTGGCTTTAAACTGTTATCCTCATCTCTCAGCCTCTTGAGTAGCTAGGATTACAGGAGGTGAGCCACTGGGCTAAATTTTTTGTAATTTTAAATAGTTGAAAAAATATCAAAAGAAAAACAAATATTTAGTGACCTTTGGAAATTATGTGGACTCTTATTTGGAATTCCATAAATACAGTTTTACTAGAATATCGTTGTATACTTCAATTAGTTTTTGAAAATAAAAATTTTACCGGAGTTCATTCATCAATTTTATATGTCATCTCTGGCTGCTTTCAACCTAGAACAGTAGATGGTAGTTAATTACTCCTGAGTTTGTGTAGCTTGCAAATTCTAATTTCTTTATCCTGTAATACTTTCCACAAAAAGTCTGATTTACTTACATGAACAAAGTAAAGCCTGGAGATATGAAGGGTTTGGTTAACACTTGCACAGGTCTTAAGGATAGAATTATAAATCAAGGCCATTGATGGATGCCTGGCATGGAAATAGATTTTTTTCTTTTGTTTTTTGTTTTCTTTTAAAGACATGAACCTAGTAATCAGGAAAATTCTGGAATACTAACCTGAAAAATACCCCATCTTAACATAATGTTTGTTGAATTGGACTGAGGAATTTCCACCTCAGAATTGTCACAGTTGTTTATTATTGTAAATCAGGAGTATTTCATATAATAAGTGAATACTCATTTTGTGAAAAGTTCTTACTATAATACTAAAATTAATTTTCCATGTAACAGTGATCTGGAATGTTCCCCCAAAGGACCATAGGTTTGAAGGCTTGATCTTAAACTTGTGGCCCTCTTGTGTGATGAGGGAGCCTTTTTTAGGTAGGGCCTACTGGACAGAAGTCAAGTCATTGTGACTATATCCTTGAAGATATTGGGACCCTACTCCCTTCTTCTTTCTATCTTTGCCCCTACTTTGCATCCTCCTACTGGATTGCATTATGCTACCACAAGCCAAAAGCAACAGGGCCAAGTTACCAAGGACTGAAATCTCTGAACCCTTCCTCCTTTAAACTGATTTATGTCAAGTATATTGTTGTACATATGAAAACTAACATGATCAGTAGAAATACTTATTGCTGGAAAGAATAAAATAAAAATTAAACATATGGGTACCACCCAGAAACATACTATAAATCTGTCAATGTTTTGATGCACACACTTGTCTTTTGCACACTTGGGAATGAATTAGTCTAATTCTATTGCATTCTTAAAATACTAGGTAGCTATTTGGGGTTTTGGTTGTGGGAAGAGATTTCACTTGGGTATTGTTGTTGTCTTAAAAGTATTTGGAGAAGAGTCAAGGAGTGTACCATTGCTCTTAAGGGAACAGAAGAGTTGGTTGTGACACTTTCAATTTATATTTTCAGGTTCAGACACTCGACCAATTCTTTTTTCCCCCTTTTGTGCCAGTCCTACGGCTTGCACTAAGAGCCCAGGTGCTATCCCTGAGTGTTTTCACTCCAGGCTAGTGTTCTGCCACTTGAGCCATAGCTCTTTGCTGGTTCATTAGAGATAAGAGGCTCACAAACTTTCCTGCCCTGGCTGGCACTGAACCTCAATCCTCAGATTTCAGCCTCCTGAGTTGCTAGGATTACAAGTGTGAGCCACTAGTACCAGGTGACATCATCAATTCTTTAGGTCTTTTCTGTTCCTTTCTCATCAAATGATCTCTTTTAAAATCTTTTCCTTTGTTGTACCCTTCATACCTCTCTTGATATCATGGAGATTCATCCAACAATAATATCGCCCTCCTCATTAGGAGTTCCTAGGATCACTTTGAGGATTCTGGTCATTTCTTTGGGATAAAACTATTGTAGGAGATCTTTCCATTATGTTTAATGTGCAACCGTCTTTGTCTCTAGATGTTCATTCACGATCCAAATGGCCCTTGGAAGCTCTGATAAACAATCTTAGAAGAGGAACTTGCTAGCTTATTCTGGGTCTTTTCATTCTGAACCGTCAATTTCACTGGAATCCAACTGTTTCTGTATACTGATTGCCTTGATAACATCAATGTCACCAGCAGATTTTCTTTTTCTTTCTTTTTGGTTGGTAATAGGGTTTGAACTCTGGGTCTGGGTGTTGTTCCTGAGCGCTTCAGCTCAAGGCAAGAGCTCTACCACTTGAGCCACAGCACCACTTTTCTGATGGTTTATTGGAGATAAGAGTCTCATGGACTTACCTGCCTGGGCTGGCTTTGAACTGTGATCCTCAGATCTCAGCCTCTTGCGTAGCTAGGATTACAGGCGTGAGCCACTGGCACCCTGCACCATCAGATTTTTATGAAGGTAGCCCCAAGTGGTTTATTTGGAAGTGTGTGAAGACGTGGTATTGTGCTAGTTTTCCATTGCTGTGAGAAAGTACTTAAGGAAGTCAATGAGGCAGAAAGTTTTATCTTGGCTTATGCTTTCAGAGGTCTCAGTTCAAGGTCAATTGGCCCTATTGTCTTTGGGGCTATTGTGAGGCGGGGCTTCATGAGGAAGTATGTGAGACAGGGAATTGCTCCCCTCCAGTTGTTGAGGAAGCAAAGACAGAGAAGAGGAGGAACCAAGGTCCCACTATCTCCTTTAAGGATGTGATCCCAGTCTTCTAACTTCCTCCTGTTAACCCCCTTCTACTAAAGGTTCTCCCACCTCATGTCAGTGCCAGGGTTGGGACTGAGCCTTCTACACAAGGGCCTTTGAGAAAAATTTCAAGTCCAAAGCATAGCAGTTAGCCACTTCCTTATCCTGTACATATACACAACTTTGGCACCCATGGAATTAACTTAGGTGTCATGATATAGATGGCTGATCACGGATGATCCTGGATGCTGGGTTACTGAACAAAGTTATACCCTTGGTTATATCCAGGTATCTGCTGAGACTCAGACCTATTCTTAGTTTAAAAACTCAGTTGATCTTTAATATAGATTGTACCCTGACAAGGTAGAAATAGCATGAGGTAAAAGTTAAAGAAACTGAATTCTATCTAAATCCTTTATTCAATAATGACCATTTCCTTTGAGCATATTACTTAAATTTTCTCAATACATCTGTCAGAAATGACTGTTCTACAGATTCTCTGGAAGATGGAAATGACATCATAGATAAGAAATGCATGTGATAAATTACAATGCATTATGTAAGGTCATGTTAATCACAAAGTAACATTAAAATAGTTACAGATATTCTCACAAGGATTACCTTTTGATATGAATATTGTAGTTAAATCTTTATAACTTTCTTGCTGTGTATCTCATAATGAATTAGATTTCCATTCATTTGATCAGGAAATTGTTGTTATATTACTTATTTAATGTTTTTGAGTATTAGTTGTACAGAGAAAAAGGAATGAAAAATTTGGGGTCCTCATGTATTTCCTTGTTCTTTTCACTCCTCTTTTATTCTATTAACATTTTGCACTAGATGGGAAAGTGTTGATGCATTATTATTAACTAAATGCCATAGTTTGTTAAAGTTCACTCTGTGTCGTGCATTCTGTGTTTTGACAAGTGGGAGATGCTATGTAGCCACAATGACAGTATCTTCCCTTACAGATTAGCTCTGTCACTTAGTAATATGTACTGTGATTTTTCCATGTCTTGTAGTTTGATAGTTCTTTCTTTTTAAAATCCCCAAGTAAAAGTTATCTGTGGTACAAGACAGTATGTTGAAAATGAACTTTACAACTTGGGAGGGGGGAGGAAGAAGTTGGGGAGGGAGGGAGGAAAGGGATGGTAGGGGAAAAACAAAGTAGGAGGTAACAATGCTCGATAGGAAATTACTCATTACCTTACTCATGTAACTGTAGCCCCTCTGTACAGTATTCTTACAGTAATATATATATATATATATATATATATATATATGAGTTATCTGAATACACTATAGTTTGTGTATTCATTCAGCAATTGAAGGGTATATTGATCGCTTCCAAGTTTGAACAATTATGAATACAGTTGCTATTAACATTGTTAGATTTTTCTTTTTTTTTGTCGGTCGTGGGGCTTGAACTCTGGGCCTGGGCGCTGTCCCTCAGCTCTTCAGCTCAAGGTGAGCGCTCTACCACTTGAGCTACAGCGCCACTTCCGGTTTTCTGGTGGTTTATTGGAGATAGGAGTCTCACGGTCTCTCCTGCCCGGGCTGGCTTTGAACCGTGATCCTCAGATCTCAGCCTCCTGAGTAGCTAGGATTACAGGCGTGAGCCACCAGCGCTCGGCTCTAACATTGTTAGATTTTTATTGGACCTAAATTTTCATTTTATTTGGGTAAATACTTAGAAGGGTAGTTGCTGGATCAAATGGTATGCAGTCAGTTTTGTAAAAAAAAAAATCAAATTGTATTCTAGAGCAGTTGCACTATTTTTGCTTTCCTACTAGTAATAATTAAGAACTCTGTTTTCTATATACTTTCCAATTACAGTTTGACATTGTACTTTGAATGTTGGTCACTTTAATATATAATTTGCTATTGTTTTAATGTGCAATTCTTTAATGCACGAGAAACTAATCATCATTTTCATAGGTTTGTATTTCTCTAATCTTTGGTGAAGTGTCTGTTCAGATCTTTTGCCTATTTTTAATGTCGTTTTCCTATTGTTGAGTTTTAGCTTTTTTTTTTTGTATATTTTAGATGCCAGCCCTTTATCTGATTTGTGCTTTGTAATGATTTTCTTCTAGGCTTGTCTTTACATTCTGTTACTATTGTTTGTTTTTCATTATTTAACCTTAACATCATGCTCTGGCTATTTTTAAATACTCATGACATCCAAGTTTACAGTTGTTAAAGGGGATGAAAAATCCTAACAGTTCATTCCTATTTACCCTTTGACTCTTTTTGAGGTTGTGTGTATTTGTAGAAGGGATCAAACCCAACGAAGGCTCAACCTCAAACCTTTCCTTCTTAACTGGGATCATCACTGCTATCATCCGAGAGTCGGTTTGTGGCCAGTCCAAGCTGGCTGGGTCTGTCTGAGCTGATCGGAGTGGCCGACATTTTTGCTGACTAGAGTCATGCTATCTTTGCCAGTTTGCTGGAATAGACACAGACACGGATTGGATCACGCTGAAGACATTCCTGTCTTGTGAAGCAAGTCTGTTTGTATTTTAAGTTTGCCAGGACTAATGAATTAAAACATTTGGACTCTCCATAACTTGCTGTTTATCAATGCCCCTGACAGGAGGAGGGTTTTCTTTTGCTCTTGCTTTTTCTAGAAACATGACAACATCCTGGCTGTTGGAGAGGCAAGGAAAGGAGAGAGAGGGTTGTGGAGGGAAGCGGAACTCAGGTCCCATGGGACACGGGGGTCTGGGGGCAGAGCAGGTAGCAGTGTGCAGCTCTGACAGCTGTCCCTGCCCCTCAGTGTCAGGAGCTGCTATGCAGCAGGTGCAGCCTGGTCTCTCACTGAGTCTTTGCTCCACAAAGGCAACAACTAGCCAAGGCAGTGGCTGGCCCTGGATTACACAAGTGCAGACACTCAACTAAGTGAGGTAAGGCAGCAGGTGTGAAAATGCTCGCAGCTCCTGCAACTTAACCAAAGCTCTGTTACAGCCTCCAGCCAGGCGAGACAAGGAATCAGTGGCCTGTTTCCCGAGGCGGTCTGATGAAAAGGCAAGTTGTTTCAAGGGATCCTGTGGTCGATGCTGTGTAGAACACAAAATCGACCCAACCTCAACACCATCCTTTCTGAGGCAGACAGATGCTCTCAGTGGTGCCCAGAAGAGGGGTGGTAATTTGCTGTTAGTCCTCAGTTCTATCTCTAGTGGCTGGAAACTAGAGATACGGAGGAGGCATTTTCTTTCTTGGTGCAGAGATGTGCTGGGAGATTTCACCAAAGACAAGGGAACTTCTCATGGGTAGATGTTGTGGTAAGATTGATTGTGGAGTGTATGATGCCAGAATTTTGGGGATTTTGCTTTTTTTTGTTCTGTTAATTTTGAGACCATTTATTCCTCCAGGAACAAGTGTCTAAAATTCTCAATTCCAAGCAGAAGAAACACACTGAAGTATGTCAGAGTTAGCTAAAAACCGATCCCGTGCTAAGTATTTGCAAGTTTATGAAGTTCTTTTTCTTAAATGTTTCAGGTTACCATTTCTTTGTAATTTAGGAGTACTGGACATGGGAGAGTGCTTACTTAATGCTTCCTTACTATCTGTAGTGTTAAATGAATCCTAACTGGATTGTAAATAGTTGCTGGATTTTTTTTCTTAGGTTGCATTAAGTGTTTAATATGAATGCATTTTACTTTTACATACAGAGTAAGATGATTCTAAATGTATGGCTATCTAAATACACATGTATGTATGTATATATGCATTGAATTTGGCTGTATAAATAAAGATAAAATCAAAATTCAGTGTCCTAGATGCTATTTATAGAGCCAGAAAAGCCATGGGAAAGAGTCAGAAACCTTGCTATGAGAAAATATCCTGCTACAGCCATCCACAGAATCTTGTTTAGGATGGCTAAGGAGATTATATTTTGCCATTTTTAGAGAAATTTTTCTTAAAATATCACTCTGGTGTTTTGGTCTGCTGTGTACATGAGATAGCATGTAGATGGTTTAGGGGAAGCAGGACCAAAAATAGAAAAGTTAAGTATATGTATGAAATAACAAAAATATCATATGATATTATCTACTCCTAGTCCCAATGGATAACAAGTTATCAAACATGTTGATTAAAGTGTGTTTGGGCTAAATCCCCTAAATCCACAGAAATATTCATGTACTTTCCCCTTTCCATCTAATATGTAAGATGTTTTCCCATTCATTCCAAGTTTATTAATTAAATGGTAATTTAATATATGGAACGAAACACCCAAAGGTTGTTTTCAGTTTTGGCTTTTGCTTGCATCATATGCTAATCAGAGATGAAACTTTAGGCTAGAAATCTTTCATAGATTTATAAGTAATCTGGTTTTGAAAGTGTAAAATATTTATAATACAACTGTTATTTTTACATGGCTTTGATATTCTGTTAAATTAATTCCATTATACTTACTCTTTACCACTTCTGATTCAAAACTTCAAATTTAATTTAGGCTTTTGAGTATGAAAAAGTATCTTATCAGAAACCACTTGATAACCTATTAAGACTATCTTTTATTTTCCCCCCAATTAAAAATAAAACAGTATGTGACCTTGAAAGCCATGATTAAATTGGTATGAGGAGACATTATATCAGAGATATAGGTAGATACTTGTCATATTTCATCCATTCTAGATGTCCATGGCTAAAGTATTTTTTATAATCCAGAGAGAAAATGGGCAGGTGGATAGTCTGGTTGTAGAGGAAAGGAGATTGCTAACTTTCCCTTTTAATTTCTAAGAGTGTTCGAGTATTTGGAGTCATTATATTAAGTGACAAGGTCTTTGTCTTCTCTTGTAGCTGGAAGACCCAGGAGAAGACCGGGCCTCAGGTGCCCACATGATTAGCACAGCCAGGGTACCTGCAGATAAGCCAGTCCGCATCGCCTTCAGCCTCAATGACTCCTCAGGTATGGTCTGATGGGGGATTGGGCCAGTTCCTTCCTGCTCTCCTTCACTGTCTTCTCTAATTTCGTCAAGTTTTAAAGTTGGATAGGCCTGGTGGTCAAGTGTATGATATTTCATTACATGTTGTTAGATTGTGGCTTCCAGAAATGCCTCCGACAATGCCTTCCCCCACCTTCATTTGGTTATTTTAGCCTACTTCATTTTCTTTTCTCTGTTTAGCTTCCTTTTAGGATAAGATTCATAGAGCTATAGCAATTTCTAAGGATAGCAGAGTGTGTCATTGTTAAAATGACATGAGGAAATGTTTATGACGAGCTGGCAGATGGTTAGGTGATATAAAAATATCACTGTCTCACTTCCAGCCACATTTGTTAAAGCCTCAGTTCATGATGCTGGCTTCTCACCGGAAACAGACTTCAGCCAGAGTGATGAATGGGGCAGGTGAGGCAGGGCCTCTGAAAATAGTAAGATCTGAGGTGAGGCTGCCATACTTAGAGCCCTTGGTCATGGCTCCCCTCAATGACCTCTTAACACACATATTGGATTGCACCACCTTTGAACAAGGGACCTCATTTGGTGGGAGGTCACACTGGCTGGGAAAGGAAGCCCTGGCTCTCTTCCATGGGCCATTGCTTAGTTGAATGTCATCTGTTAAAATCACATGCTCAAACACTACTATTTAACCCCAGGTCTTCTCTTTGTCTAGTTCCATCTCCTCGCTCTCTCTTTTCCCTCTCTCCACCTACAATGTCCACAGAGGAGTAATGCTTTAAAAATTAATCATTAAGCTGGGCATCTGTGGCTCATGCCTGTAGTTCTAACTACTCAGGAGGCTGAAATCTGAGGGTGGCATTTGAAATCAGCCTGTGAGGCTCTTCTCTCCCACCAAAAAGCCACTGGTGGCTTGCACTTGTAATGCTAGCTACTCAGGAGGCTGAGAGCTGCGGGAACCAACACACACACACACACACACACACACACACACACACACACACACACACACACACATTTTTGCTTTAAAAGAGACAGGATCTTTTTTTCTTTTTTAAATAATCATGTGAATTGAAAAGCTGGGCTCTGTGAATTCTCATGTGGGACAGCCAATGGAAGCTTGGAGTTTATGTGAGGTAGTCAGTGACATAGCTACCCTGGGGTTTCCTGGACCATGGAGAGTATATTCTAGAGGAGGAAGAGGTGAAATCTTAACTCCTTATGATCTATTTTTCCAGCTCTCTTGGAGGGGGGAGGGTCATGCTGCAAAAATCCTCCAAATAGGCAAATTAATTCATCCCCAACATAGAAATGACAGATACCATTATTTCCACTCATATTTTGCATGAGTAATTCACCTATATTACTTCTGATTATTGAAACAACCATGCATTGAGAACCCCCTATTTATAAAGAGAAAGACTGAAGCTGAGAGAATATAGTGTTAGGAAGTAGTGGAAATTTGCTCTAAATTCCAGTCCTGGGAAATCCACACTCTCTCAGATACTCCAAAGGAGTTTTAAATGCCTTTTGTAAATCTAAGAATTCAAGGAATAGTCAGTAAACAAGTGGCTAGCTCTCAAGTCACATGTAAACCCAGGAATAAAGTATAGACTTTCCTGTCCCCTCATATGATCAGAACAAGTTCTGTTATAATCAACAATCTTATGAATAAAAAGTCAGTACATAAAGCAATACTATGACATAATTTTGGACCAGATAAATAACTTAATTATACCAGAAAAGAGCTATAGAGACGTGAGTCTTGATGTTGGGGCTTTATGAATAAACACTTTCTTAAAAATATAAGTTTTGAACTTTCTTGGTTCCTGAATTTAAAACTTTTGTATGTCTTATCAGTGAATTTGGACTTTTTGCTCCAATCTTTCCTTCTTTTCTTTCAAATGCCTTAAGAATGCTTACCTTTTTTTTGAATGCTTACTTTTGAAATTCATCTTTCTTAATAGATACCTTCAAAAAGAGGCTATAATTTATTTTTCACAATTCTTATCTGTAAGCCTCTAGAATAAGTCTTATGAAGCCATATGCACATTAAAAAATCTATCAACACTAATATTTTAATGTTGTGATCAATGTGTCTCCAGTTTTCTAGAACTGACCCTTACCTAGAGAATCTAAAGCAGAAGCTAGATTTCTATTCTCAACCTTGCTTGGTTAAAATAACCACAGAGAACACCCATCGAGAATATGTGTTCCAAGGTTTCATTCTTTATGTCTGATTTGGAAAGTGTGTTTATGCATATCAGAAATGCAATGTTTCAAGAGCTAGTTAGGGCCTCTGATTCTGAACATTATTGTTCATGTGACATTTCTACTTCACAAAAAGATGCTTTGCAGATCTTTGGGGACACTCCCTTTGAATTCTTGAATAAGGAGCATGTGGAATATCACACAGAGTAACATTTGCCATCCCACAAGCCATGCATGCCTTTTGAATTCCAGTGCATGTGGCCTGCAGCTCACATATTCAGGGGAAAAATAAAGCAAAACATCCTAAACCTCCACAGAAAATGGCAAAACTAAGATGGGCTTTTGGGAAGTAATTCCATGCTGTTGGGTTTACTGTTGATAAATATATATATATAGTCCAAGAGAAAAGAAGACATCTCTGCTTGCGAATATTGACACACTGGCTTATTTATTTTGTGGGGTTTGAACTCAGGGCCTGGGCACTGTCCCTGAGCTTTTTTTTTTTTTCTTCAAGGCTAACACTCTACCACTTTGAGCCACAACTCCACTTCCAGTTTTCTGGTAGTTTAATTGGGGATGAGTCTCACAGACTTTCATTCCCAGGCTGTCTTTGAACTGCAATCTTCAGCCTCCTTAGTAGCTAGGATTACAGGCATGAACATCCAATGACTGACTTTAAAACTTTTTTATTGTTATTGTAAAGGTAATGTACAAAGGGGTTGCAGTTATGTAAGTCAGGTAAAATTACTCCTTTCCTGGCTCTCTCCCAGTTGGCATATTTATTTCTTAGGAGCATAATAGAGTACATATTTTCTCCAGCAATTTTAGGACTATTTTGGGGAGGGGATATATAATCTGGCTTTAGAGTCACAGAAACATGGTTTGTATACTCATCTTATTAGGTATGATCATGAACAAGTTATTTAACCTTATTGGAAATCAGTTCATTAAAAGATGTGTATAATATTAGTTCACATAGCTCTTTATAAGAATGAAATGCCACCTTAAAGGGGAAATATTTAACAAAGTGCTTTGTTACAAACCAAGCATTTGGCTTGATAACTGATTATGGAACATTATGGTAAATGTAAGCAGCTGAGCAGCTGTGTGCCCTACCTACATTTCATACTTTTACATGGTACAAAGGTGGATTTTATAGTTATTTAGGTGTTAGGTATGCAGTTATTAGACTTTGAGTGTCTTGCTCCATTCTTTTTTGTTTGTTTGGTTTTTGTCAGTTGTGGGGCTTGAACTCAAGGCCTGGGCTCTCTCCACTAATTGACTGTTATTTTTTGTTTGGTTTGTTTTTGTCAGTTGTAGGGCTAGAACTCAAGGCCTGCGCTCTCTCCCTTTGCTTTTTTGCTCAAGATTAGAGCTCTACTACTTTCAACCACAATACCACTTCCAATTTTCTGGTGGCTAATTGGAGATAAGAGTTTCATGAACTTTCCTCTCTGGGAAGGCTTTCAGCCATGATCCTCAGATCTCAGCCTCCTGAGTAGCTAGGATTACATGAGTGAGCCACAGCAATCAGCTCCATTATTATTATTTAGTTCCTATGTTTCCATCACTTTCTCAAAGGCAATGGATGTGTAAAAGAAGCTCCATCCCACAAGCTTTACAAGAGATTTGGCTTCATGTCTAAAATCTGTGTCACCCAGAGAAGAAATTGGCAACAGCTTCTTGGAAGAGATAATAATCAAATGGGTTTAAATGTAATTAGGTTATAGAAAGGTGTTATTTTGGAGTACTAGTTACAAAAGAAAGAAACTACATACCTTTTCATTATTTTCTTCCTGTTCTCTCCAAACAGAACACATGAATAAAACCGGTCTAAGAAAGAGTATGGTGTAGTCACACAACACCATAGTCATTGGAGCACAAGGCTGAACTGCTATAATAATGTCATGCCTTGAGCCAGGCATTGCTCTGGCACTTTGTGTAGAATGCCTGTTTTGATAGCAGCAGATCAGTCTTACTGATCTTAAAAATCAACCAAAAGAATCTACACTTGATCAGAAGAAATATAGTTTCAAAAATCCTTAAGTGAGGGTCTCCTTAAGTAGACCAGACTGGCCTCAACCTCTCCATTCTCCTACATTAGCCTCCTGAGGGCTGGGATTATGGGTATATGCCACTGTACTTGGTGGCGAAGACTTTTTATAATGGCACAGAAACAAAGTGATGAAGGGCCTAGACTGGAGAATGGAATGAGCCAGACATGATAGGACATGCCTGTAATCCTAGCATTCAGAAAGTAGAAGCTAAGCAGAATCTATATCACCCAAAGAGTAGAATGATTGAATACAGATACGAGTAATGATACCTGTATTCACCATCCTCTAGCCTCCATTTTTTGAGTGCTGGAACTATATATAGGGATATGCTACCCTACCTAACTTCCAGAATACAATTTGAAAGGAATGTGGAAAGAAATAGTATGGCCTTGCTCAATAATGTGTTAGTCATTGTGCACTGAAAAAGAAAGAGTTCCAAGACTTCAAAAAAACTAAGGATTCCATTGGGCTCAAATAAAAGAAGCAAGATTTGGAGAAAAATATGTATAATTACTTAAGATATAAACTTGTTTCCTATCTAATCACAAGAAGCTTTATATACATCGTGTATTTAGCTACTTGTATTGCTCAGAGACAGCTATGGTTGAGTTCAACATAATCAGTATTACTTGTTGAGTTCAACATAATCAGTATTACTTCCAGACTTGGTCCTTCTTTGGGTTAGCTTCCCAATAACAAATACACAGAACACAAACATGCATTCTACCCTTTAAGTTATTTGG